CACAACCTAACCCACTGAATAGAAGCATCACAATATACTTGAAAAGATTGAGTCACATCCGGGATCACCAACATCGGGGAACTAGACAATCTTCTTTTCAACTCCTGGAAACTCTCCTCACATCTATCTCGTCCAAGCAAAAGGTTGATCCTTACGGGTCAACCGTGTCAAAGGAGTTGCTATCTTAGAGAAACCCTCTATAAATTTCCGGTAATATCCTGCTAGTCCCACAAAGCTACGCACTTCCGTCACCTGTCTTAGGGGTTCCCATTTTAACACTGCATCTACCTTGGTAGGATCTACGAGATATCCCTTCTGCCAGATATTACATGTCCCAAAACTGCACTGTTCTAACCAAAACTCACATTTTGAAAGTTTGGCATACAATTGTTTCTCTCTTAACACATCCAACACCGCCCTCAGATGTTCCTGGTGTTCTTCCCTAGTTTTAGAATAAATAAGAATGTCGTCTATAAAAACAACAACAAACTTATCTAAATAAGGACGGAAAATCCTGTTCATATAGTCCATAAATACGGCAGGTGCATTTGTTACTCCAAACGGCATGACCACATATTCATAATGGCCATATCTCGACCTGAACGCCGTCTTCTGTACATCCTCTTCTTTAACCAGTATCTGATGGTATCCAGATCTCAAATCAATCTTAGAAAAGATTGATGCTCCCTGTAACTGGTCTAATAAATCATCAATCCTCGGCAACGGGTACTTGTTCTTGATAGTTACCTTGTTTAGTTGCCGGTAATCAATACACAACCTGGAGCTCCCATCTTTCTTCTTTACTAGCAATACAGGAGCGCCCCAGGGAGATACACTCGGGCGAATGAACTTCTTTTCCAGCAAATCTTCTACCTGTTTCTTCAATTCAGCCAATTCTGCTGGAGCCATACGGTATGGTGCCATAGAGATTGGGCCTGAACCAGGAATTAGATCAATCCCAAATTCGACTTCTCTCTGAGGTGGTAGCCTTGGTATCTCATCTGGAAACACATCAGGAAATTCTCTCACAACTGGTACCTCTTCCAGGATATTTTCCTTCATTTCATCCATCTGAGTCAGAATCAAATAACACTGAGCTCCCTCTCGTAACTCTTTCTGAACCTGCCGAGCTGATGTAATAAGTTCATCTCCTAATTCCGGATGTACCAACCTCTTCTGTCCACAGTCAATCAGAATGTGATTGGTAGATAACCAATCCATCCCTAAGATTACATCCATATCCTTCAAAGGTAAACCGATTAAGTTCACCTTGTACTGTCGTCCCTCTACGACAATTGGACACCTTAAACACACATAGGAAGACACCACCAGTCCAGCTGCTGGTGTAGATACCCTCAATTCATAGGGTAGGTCACACACAGGTAACTTAAGTTTATCCATACAATTATCAGCAATAAAAGAATGGGTAGCTCCCGAATCAAACAAAACTCGTAGAGGTATATCGAGAGATAAAACACACACCTTGCACTAAATTCTCCGACCTCGATGCCTCTGCTCCCGACAAGGCAAACACCCGATCCTGCAGCTCCGGGTTTCGCGTCACTCCTCCTTGGTGCTAATGATGCCCCAGCTGAGACTATAACATTGGGATTACTGTGGACGAGTCTCTAGCCATATGTCCCGGCTTCCGGCAAGTGTAGCAAAGACCTGCCCGAGAAGTGCGGGAAGGATTAGTGAAGGCATTCGTGGGCACTCGATTCCTGTAATGAGGGCCTCCACATTGAAAACATTTTACCCGGATACGAGATCCCGATGATCGAGGTGTTGGGGTAACACCGCCACTCTGGAAGGCCGGGGCGTGAATAAGGGATCCTCCTCTCCGATCTACTACCCCTACTCGGGACCCCACTTGAGTGGGTCCTCATCACTCCGACTCCTCCCTCCTGGAGTCTCTCTATGGTCTTCGCCTTCTCCACCAGCTCCGGGAATCTCCCGATAGAGAAAGGAACCACCATGAGCTTGATCTCGGCCCTCAAGCCTTCCTCAAACTTCCTACAAAGCCACCGTTCGAAGTTGTACCTGTGTAGAAACGAGATAAGTGCTCAAATCGTATGGCGTAATCATGCACCATCATATTACCCTGTCTCGGACTCGGGAACTCAGTCTCCTTCGAAATCTAACACTGTCGGGGAAGTATTTCTCCGAGAAATCTCTCACGGAAAGTTTCCCAATTACACACCTCCCCACGTGCAATCATCATCTTTTGAGTCCCGACCACCGGAACTCGGCCTCATCAACTAGTAAGTATTTCCCGAATGTCAATTTCCTGTCTTCGGGCATAAGGTAGCCTCAAAAATCTTCTCCACTTCACGCAGCCACTTCTCTGCTGCATCTGGACCCAAATCTCCTCCAAAACGAGGCGGATTATGCCTCATGAACTCAGTCAGCCCCATTTGTTCTGATTGGTGATATCCAGCAGAGGATGATGCCATAGTTGGCCTCCACTGCGGGTTGGTAGCCTGCTGCTGCATGGCAGCTGCCAACATTTCCATTGCCCTGGCTAGGGCATCTACACTCGGTGGAGTAGGAGTAGGAGTAGGAGGTCGCGGTGCCATCCTATATCAAACGCAACCATCAATACAGAGCAAACATTCACACACTCACAATCAGAGTATAATCACAACGGACTTATCATAGGTTCACTACCCATCCCCACAGATTTACAAGGATACTACCGCTCTGATACCACTATTGTAACGACCCTAGAAATCGCTACTATAATGATGTCTTCGCAAAGTAGTAAACAAGTAAATAACAACATTTATTTTACATTATATTACTGTAATTGTAACATATATTGAAATTCCAGTTCACTAACGGAACTTCAATATATATTAACATCATTTATTTATACATTATACATGTAACAGTAGCTCCCTCGAAGCTATCCCACTGAACTATCCCTGCTGTCCAGTAGTCCCATCACCATCTCTCAACTCCTGATCTGCTCCCACATAAAAGTGATCATCGCAGTCCCATCCACATGGAAAAATAGGGGTAAGTATTAAATAATTTGATATAATAAAACAGATATAGAATTAATAATTACATATTATGATCAATTACTAAATTATCAATACACTAAGACACCTTCCGGAAGTATACCCTAACTATGCCCGAACTCAGAGGCTATCATCTGTGGGCACATTGTGATCGGTACCCGCAGTACCATTCTGACCACCCTCCACACAGAGTAGGATTACTGGCGCCCTTCATCACTCATACTGGAGTACCCCTCCGAGCGCGCCACCAGTCATCCCCCCATCGACTTCTCACCACCTGATCTCGTAGTCTACCTGACCCGACCAATCAGTGAAGTCTGGGACCTCATTCAGAATCCTCCGACATAGTTATTACACTAATGTACTATGTACCACCCCGGGTACCATTCAAACATACAAAATTTATTCACATTTGCCGGATTCTGGACCACCTGTCCTCACGGCTCATTCGAGTCAATAAAAATAGTATTTGACTGATTCTGGCACCAACCCTCCGGCTCAGTCTAGCCAATATATAACGTCTCAGGACTGATTCTGGGCATCAGCCCTCAGGCTCAGTCTGACCCACACACGTCACAACACACTACTTTCATTCTCTCTCTCTTTATATATATATTTTTCTAAAAATCATTTCTGAAATCAATAAATTACTATTTTGCCCTTGATCTTAAAAAATCCCCACCATATCCCTTTCTTCTTCCTTCTCTCGCTCAAGCGAGTACACCGGTCGCTTGAGCGAGATAGAACCCGAGAGTCCCCTTTGTTTGAAGGTTTCTTCGCTCAAGCGAGTACACCAGTCGCTTGAGCGAGATCTGACCCGGGAGTCCCTTGTTTGAAGACTTCCGTCGCTCAAGCGAGTACATCAGTCGCTTGAGCAAGAAATGACTCGGGAGTCCCCTTTGTTTGAAGCATTCGTCGCTCAAGCGAGTAAATCAGTCGCATGAGCGAGACTTGACCCGGGAGTCCCTTCTGTTTGAAGCATCCGTCGCTAAAGCGAGTACATCAGTCGCTTGAGCGAGACTTGGCCCGGGAGTCCCCCTTGTTTGAAGCATCCGTCGCTCAAGCGAGTACATCAGTCGCTTGAGCGAGACTTGACCCGGGAGTCCCCTTTTGTTTGAAGCATACGTCGCTCAAGCGAGTACACTAGTCGCTTGAGCGAGACTTGACCCGGGAGTCCCCTTTTGTTTGAAGCATACGTCGCTCAAGCGAGTACACTAGTCGCTTGAGCGAGAAAGAACCCGGAAATCCCAAATTTTCCAGGTATCCTCGCTCAAGCGATGTAATTTTGCTTGAGCGAATTTTGCAGGTTTTCGGGTTCGCCATTTTCGAATTCCAGATTTCAAATTTATCAGTTTCAATCACCCAAATTAGTTCCAAATCAAAATTAAACCATAAACATGTTCAATTTAAGTTAAAAACAACATTTTTATTATATAATTCATCCTTAATTTCAAGAATTTCTAAAACTTTTAAACCGTGAATAGTTCATCAAAATCAGTTGCAACAGACATTCTTCAAATTCAGACATTCTTCAAAATCATACATTCCAATCATTCGTATCTCTACTCCTATTCCTTATTTACAGAGTACCAACAATTCAATTTCATATATTGAATGAATTAAACTTCCCCTTACTTGGTATGGTATTTCTACCGAAGCTTTCCCACTTAATTCAGGTTCTCTCCCGTTTCACCAGATCCTGCACGAGCAGAGTCTCGTTGCTTGAAATTTAGACAATATAAGAAGAAGGATGAGAGGAAATTTTTATTCTCCTCCTTCTCCGCTTCAGTACGCGCATATATAAAAGCAAAAATTTACTGTGCATGATTGCACAATAATCTTATTATAATATATAAAAAAACATACGTCACATAATCTATGTAAGACAAAGGTAACCAAGGGAATATAATAAAATTTAAATTTATTTTTTTAAGTATTATATATATATATATATATATATATATATATATTTATTACTTTGAACTATCAGATATTTTTCCTCCATTAAACCAAAATTCTGAAACGTTGAATTGCTCTTTAGTTTTAAAACTGTACGAGCAGTAATTTATATTAAAAATAAATCTCACATACTATTTTGTCTCTTATACTTTTCTCACGTACCTACGTATTAAAATATTATTTTTTAATTGATGAAAAGAGTAATGCCATACTCATGACTCAGTGAAGAAGATAGCTGTTTATCTTTTCTAACTAATAAAGCAATAAAAAGTAACTCCAACATATTATTATGAGATTTGTCACAATTATTGTTCCAATCACTTTCTTCTTCCGAGTTATGCATGAAAACAGCTCGTGCCATTTAGTTTAAATCCATAAATAACTCAAAACTGGTCCTTCGTAGCTTTTTTTTGTTCAATTGTTTTTCTGAAAAAAGAAAAGATATTATCAATTTCAAAACTCCAATTTATCATAGTTTTAGAAGAAAGAATATATCTTAACTTCTGTATGATTAATTAAACTCAGGAAAAAATAAGGAAAAGTTACCAAGTTTCATATAGAGTTTGAGGTTGTTTATCTAGAAAACATTGAAGTGTTGAAGGCTTTTATGTTATCTGGTTGCTTTATATCAAGGTTTGTTGTGTTTGTACCACTGTGTCGTGCTTATCCTGGTAAAGAAATAATAAGATAGGTAATATTAGGGTGTCAAAGTGAGCAACCCGGCTTACACGGGTGTGAGTTGAATCCGGCTTACTTATTGACGAGCCAAAAATTTTATAATCCGGCTCAATCTATTACGGGTTTGTGGGTTAGGTAGATTGACTCCCTAACCCATATTTTTTTTAAATTTTAAATTATATAGAAACTTCGGATCTAAAAACTTATGTTTTTTTCCTTTCTTTCTTAACATTAATATCTTCATTATTAACTAAAATTGGCTCATTGGGTTTTTCATTAATAATAAAATCATCACCAATACAATTTACATTGACACTTTGATGTATTGTTTTAGATTTCATACTGTAAATTAATTTAAAAGAAAGAAGTCAAAAAATTCATATATTAAAGAGATATACGTATAAATCAATAACAAACAACAAATAATATATAGATGTTACAATTTTCAAATAAAGATTCATCAATCCAATAGTTTAGGTTATGAAACAAATTCTTACCTTTGAAAGCAATACAATGAACATGGTGTAGTTGTGCGGTGGACATATAATAAGACAAGTGACCCAAGTACAACAGCAAACGTAATGGTGCAACAAACAATTGATAACAAGTTTAAGTGAGGATTTAACTTGTAGCAACAACCAACAATATAGGGTAGAGGCAAGACATGATAACATCAATTAGGGTTACTAAAGTATTATAATTATTTTTAAATTTAAAATAAATGATTAATTAAGATTAATATATTATTATAATTATTTTTAAAATTTAAAATTAATGATTGATTGGGATCAACCCACCATAACTCAATTCAAATCCATTTAACATGTATATTAAATTCATTTTTAGTCCATTATCTATAAAAATAAAAAGAATTGAAGTCATTCATGAAGCGGTTGGGTCACATGGTAGAACTTTTATTTGACACCCCTAGGTAGCATGAAGGTTAATGGGTTACGTGTACAGATATGTGATTCGTATCTATTTGAAAATAATAAAATATTGAGAATATTTGATGTATTTGACCTCTCTAACTAAATATAGTATTATTGTTATTATTTTAAAAATTTAAATGCACTAAATAAAATTATTATTTTAAAAATTTGAATGCACTAAATAAAGAAAAATGAATTTACATTATGCGGAAATAAAGATGCAATAGGGAGAGAAAGTGATTAAAATAGTGTTTGTTTGAACAGTTTTGGAAGTGTGTGATGTGGAGCGAAGACTCACTTCCAAAACTCTGCATTTGCATGTGCCTGTGTTCGATATACTTCCATTCTTCAATATTTACAATTAACTTGTGACCTTTTTATACAATTTCAGTCATTAATGTCTCACATTAAATATATGTATTTACAATATATAGTGATATCAATGTTAGAATCTAAGTTTATACATCACTGGATCAAATTTGTGGGGTTTGATGACATTATGGTATGTCCGTAAATTGATTATTGCTTCAGCCATCTTTTTTGTATGTTTTGTTGTTCAAAGTTTAAGTTTTTCCTTCTTTCAAGAAAATTAAGATTATTGTTAATATATGTTGTCCTTGTGCTAAAAATTTATTCATAACATATACTTAATTTAAGTTAGTACATAATACTATATTAATATACATTTCCTAATGTTCCATGATAACATTTTATTCATAGTTATAATTTTCCTTTTAGAACTACTTCATAATATTGTTGTTTTTCTAAAATTAATATTAATGATTCTTATTCTTTTATTAAATTAATATTATTTTTAGTTTTTAATCAATTAAAACTTATCTTTTCGATAAGAAATGTTATTTTTTACATGTTAATAATGATATATAATATAATAATAATTATTATTATTAATTCATATTATATTTATATATTTTAATGGTAATATTATATAATAATAATTATTATTAATTATTATTATTAATAATTATTGTTAATATATATATATATATATATTATTGTTAAACTATTATAAAATAATAATAATAATAATAATATATTTATTAAAATAATAATAAAATAATTATTATCAATTAGAATATATATATATATATATATATATATATATATATATATTTCATTTATTTATATAAATGAATTTTTTAAAATTATTTAAATTACCTAAAATATTATTTAATACATTATATTTAAAAAAATTATATAAATTAATTTTCAGATGTTACATCAATTCTTTTAATTTTTTCTCTTCTATTATAATTATTGCATATTTTTTTCAGTATCAATCAAACATTCTCTCTATCTCTGTCTAGTTTTTTTTCTCTCCTCTCCTCAAAACTTTCTTTCATGTTCATTTATGTAGCAAAATTAACAACAAATGATTTGTTGTGAAACAACTTCAACACTTATATAGCTGTTATAAGTAAAAAAATCAATTAAAAGAAAAAAAAATCAGAGCCGAAGCTATAATATCAATTGATCATCCGAACATGATAAGATTAAATAGTAATAAATTCTGAGGTTGATTATCTTGATAAGATTAAATATGAATTCATATAACTTAGAATACTATATAAAATTCTTTTTAATATAAAGAAAAAATAAATCAATTTTTTTATTAGATTAAAATTAACCTATTTATAAATTAAATATTTGTAATTATAGACTACAATAATAATTCTTAATAAACATATAATTAATTTTCATAAAAAAAAATAATTCTCATTATAAATATTATTATATTTATAATATTTCAAGCCATTTAATTTAAAAAAAATTATAATAATTTAAAATTTTATTAACCCTTCAAATCATTTCACGTGATCTTACTTCACAACACTTTCTTGTTTCTTTGTTGAACTATAACTTTACTTCTGATTTCTTTTTCGATTTTTATTTCCGAAAAAAATATTCAACCAAGCCATCGTTTTGGTAAAAAACTTATTTCAGAATTAAAAAAAATATTGGTTGAATAGTTTTTACGTGAAGGGAGTAAATTCCCAAAAATTTAAGGTTATTTTTGTTGCATCTTTCATAAAGTTATTATAGACACCCTTCTTTTAATTTAAGTTTAAACTAAACATTATACATATATGTTAATTTTTTTCCATACCTCATCTTTAATAATAACCAATTATAAATGTTATTTAAATGTTTTATAAATATTTAAATATATAATTTAAAAAAAAAAAACACAAATCAATTTATTCGGCCGCTCTCAATTTTATGATAAGGGACTTAGCGGAAGGAATAAAAAGCACATGAAAAATTAAAATTAGAACCTACTCTGTCAATTTTAAAATGGTCCGACACCAGAGCTAACCAATGTTGGTAGGAAAAAGGCTAGTTTTTTATGTTAATAATGACAATGTGATTAAATGCGTATTGATTGAGGTTGGTTAATTAGTTGAATTTGTCCCATTGGTTAAAAGCTAACTCCATGCCCAATAATTAAATGCTCAAAACCAAGATTCAAAGACTTGTGCAATTGGTTGGCACAGATAAATTCAATTCAATAATTAAATATACTTCTCTCAATTTTTGTTTTTTAAGGTGTTTTTTCATAATTAAGAAATATAATAAAATTTATATTCTAATAAAATAATTATATAATATTTATTTTATCATTTTCTTCTTTATGAATATGTGGAGCCTTAAAATTTATAGTAATTGAAAAGGATTTGTCACAACAACAAGCACTAATTTGGAAACCGTTCCAGCCATAAATTTGTTCATCCCTTAAATCAGTTTGTACAATTGGAATGGTGCCACCATTACTCACCTTTGTCGTCTCCAAAAAGAACCGCATTGATGAACATCTTTTAGGTACGCGAGTAACAACAAAAAAATCATAACTAAAAAGAAACGACCAAAACGAACCATAAATAGCAACTTAATTTCATTAAAAAAGTTACAATACCTTTTTCAATAAATAAATAATTATATATTTTCTTAAAAGAAAGAAATATAATTACTAAGAATTTTAAAGACAAAATAAATTTTCTCTAATACGCCAAAATAATAAAAAGAAAAAAAATGTTTTATTGTTACATGTAGTCAACTACAAACATGAAAAAACTCTAATTACCTACTCACTCGGTCTTTTTCTTTAACCATCTCCTCCCTTATTCTTGTTAGAATTAGAAATTAAGGATTCTTAAAAAATATTATTATTGTTTAAATATATACTTTAATTATTATATTTATATTAAAATATGTATGAAAAATTACATGAATTTAAGAATATATATTGGTTTAGCTATCATCTTTCTTGATACGTTCTTTACTTTATCCACCCCAGAGGTCCTACACTTAGCCATCATGTACTCTATAATTGTCACAAAAATTCTCGCACATATACCAAAGAAACAAAGAAGGCTTCACGGTATACTAAAGTTTTTTTTTTTTTCTGGTATGAAATATACACGCATTTTTTCCGGAGATAATCGAGTAATTGACGTAAATTATTTTTACAATAATTACAAAAATATTGTTTCGTGTTTTCAAAATCATTTTTTAAAATATAAAAACACGTTAAAAGTTTTTTTTTTTTATTGTTGTCTCTCCCAAACACTGTGTACTCTGTATCTTTTTTTCAGAGATCCATTTCAGATGTGTAACTAGTTCAAAGAGTCCCGAGTGTGTCATGAAGTCGCGCATCGGGGAATTGTAATTATTAACAGGGGAATTATAATTTTTTTTTTTCAAAAGTAACATGGTGTATATGTTGTATAACACATAAAAATTACTTTTGTTTTTTCCTATTACTTTAGTATATAGTAATTTTATTTTATTATTTATCTTTTTATCTTTTATAAAAGGTATTATTATTTCCTTTTGTCAATTTTTTTTATTTCAAGAAAAATATTCATTCTTGTTATTAGATATAGAATATGTTAATGAAAATATATATGAAAGGAAATACATAGTATATGTGTTAATAATCTACTTCCCTTCCTTCGGAATTTGTATACTAATTCATCGTTACTCATGTAGATAATATTTTTCCAATAAAAAGTGTATAAATTGGTTAAAACTACAAAATAATGACAATAAATTCTTGTTGCAAAAATTGAGGAGAATGATAATTTTGAGAAAAAAAATTATACAAATGCAATTGAGGAAAGATATGCAAAAATGAAAAATGAAAATATATTAATAAAATCACATATTCGTATTTAAGATTGATAAATACAATTTTGTCTAACATTGTATAAAATGATACAACGAAGGAGATTTGAGATATTTTTATCAAATGGTATGAGGTCAAATCATTTCTCATAAAAATTCTTTACTATTCAAACGAGTGAGTTCATATTCAGTGGCGGATCTTGACCATTGATCTTGAGGGAGCCAAATAATATATTATTAATAAATAATAAATAAATATAAAAGAAAGAAAGAAGATGAAATGATAAAAGGATAAAATTGTAGATATATACATAAATATATTAAATGATGATTAAGTTTGAGGGGGACAAAATCATAAATTATATGAGAGTTACAAAATTGAGGAGGGGCTAAGAGGATAAAATTGTAAATAAACAAGTAAATATATTAAATGTTCATTAAGTTTGGGGGGGTCAAAATCATAAATTACATGAAAGTTACAAAACTTTGGAGGGCCACGGCCCCGACTCCCAAGAAGATCCTCCACTATTCACATTGGTGATGGGTCATATCAATAATTTAAATATTTTATTTCTCCAATTTTTAGTGGAAGATGTCAACATAGTTGAAAATGAATATGTCATACTTTAGAGTTTATTATATTCATATGATTAATTTTTCATCAATATAACAAATAATATTGATGAACATTCAGACTTTAAGAATATAGTCAAAGTTATTCTTAAAGAAGAATTTAGGCAAAAGAATAATGTAAAAGTTCAAACCAAGTGGTGGATTTGACGTAAGTGGTAAATCAACAAAACGCGACTCCAGTGAGAATCAAGATCATAGTAGATCAAAATCTTATGGAAGGAACAATCTCAAATGTTATCATTGTGGCAAGAGAAGGCATGTGAAAAGAATATGATTGACATAGAAATAATGAAGGAAATAATTATAAAACATCAACCTCATTGCTAACCCCTCGTAAGATAGACATTTTGGTATGGCAAGTCGTAATGAGCTTTAAAGGTGAAAAATAGTTTCATAATGGGTAGATAGTAAATTCAACAACCTAGCATATGACTCCACATCACAATTAGTTTTACACTTATAAACTTGTTTCTTGGAGGATCCATGTTCACGAGAAACGATTAGGCCTTAGAGATTGTTGAAGTCAGTACTGTTAAAATAAAAATATATGATCATATTGTATGCATGATTCAAGGGATGTGACATGTGAAATATTTAAAGAATAATCTATTATCTATTAGATAATTAGATGATCTCAAACGTGAAATTCACATTGAAAATAAAATCTTAAAGGTGACAAGAGCGAATTTAGTAGTCATGAAGCAGATAAGTATATACATTTATTGTAGCCTTAATAGGAGCAACGTATATTTGTATCAATGATAATTGTTGTAGGAGATTGTGAGTGTACCCTTTCAAGAGAAAGTCAAATGTGTTTCCAAAGTTTTAGAAGAAAGCTAGATCTAAAATCCAAGAAGTACATATTCTTAAACTATATTAACAATATAAAAGGATATCACTAATGGACCCATTATCCACAAGGTTGTTATTATAGAAGAGATAAAAATTGCTTTTACTAGAGGAAATAACATATTTAACATTGATTATTTTGGGCATTCTACATCGGTTGTCCACTAATGTAAAAAGCAGCACCTATCACATTGATGACATTGCGAATTCCCACTGCTCCACATGCATTCTCCATTATCCCAAATATTACATCCCTCTTTCCCTTGAACCCTCATTGTTGACCACACTATGAGACCCACACACCTTGTACATCAAATGTGTCACGAAAACCTACTTAAACCTAACCATTGGATGCATGTCGCCGCCTTATGGGTGTCCTAGAACATTTGAAATCTTGACGACATAGTTGTGGCAGTCCAAGCTAGTGAGGTCCCCTCCACATTGGTATGGTGAGCGCATTCTACATAACCGTGATGAAACCTTTTTACATTGATTCTACCACCAAGGAAGATAACAACTATTTGAGATTTTACAAACAAGGGTCTTATAGTGGCAAATGTCCAAGGAAAGTAAATGTGAAAGTGAAAATGTTACGAAGAATACCTCAAAGGAGTAAAAATGGTACAAAAGAGAAAAACACATGACAACAATGGTGTGCAACGAAGAAAAACAATCTCACATGGAGGAGGACAACAACGGTTTTGACAATTAATGGCACAAAACAGTGGTGAAAGAGTTGGGATGCAATAGAGTTTCATTCATGTTTTTATTTTCTTTGTAACGTATTAGAGTTAGTGGGTAAGAAGACTGAAAATTTTAAAATGGAATATTACATTAGTTGTTGTAGCAACTGATGTAGTATATGAGATACTACATCAATTACACGTATAACCGATATAGTATCTCATATTCTACATCATTTGCAACAAAAATCGATGAAACATCTCCCTCAATATTTGCAAATTTGTCACGATACCTTATATTACATTAGGTATTTGGCAAATAATGTTGTATCCTATTGTAAAATATGTTCTCTGCACTAGTGTTTTCTTCAAGAAAAACTTGATGAGGAGATTAAAAGTTTGTTTGTAAGGTTACTAAATATTTGTAAAGTTTAAAGTAGATGTCTAGGTGTTGGTACAAGAAATTTGATTCTTTTATTATTAGTTTCGATTAACATACTAACTTAATCTAATAACTTTGATGAAAATGATTTAATCATGTTACTATTATATGTGGATAACATATTAGTAGTAGAACCCAACAAAACTCAAATCCAAAAATTGAAAGTAATGTTAGCTAGGAAGTTTTATATGAAGAATCTGGGACAAACAAATAAGATTTTAAGGGTACAAATTTATCTGAGACATAAAATATAGAAAAATTTAGTTTCCTCAAAATAATTACTTATTGAAAGTCATGTGATATTTTAAAGTGTAAGCAAATTTTTACCTTACTTCATATCAATTGTTTTATCAATGAAGTATAAAGGATTAAAACATGTGAGTACATGACAATCCACCAAACATGGAATGAAGCTATTTGGATTAAAATATTAATGAAGGAACTTAAACATAAATAATAAAAAATTATTATGTATGTTAACAGTTAAATTATCTTACACATTGCAAGAAATATCACATTTCACTCTGTTAGTTATTTACGATGGAGTTAACACTGAGAAATTCTTACTAATGAAACACATGTCAATCATATATAACAAAATATAATATCACATTCAATAAAAAAAATATTAAGATATTAAGTTATAGGTCGTTCTTTCTTATAAATTATAGTTTTATCATTTTTACTTAACGTAAGTTTCAACTCACACTTGAATACAACATATTCCAAGACAAATCATATTAATATACGATACCACATTATTTGATAAATAGTATAAATTAGTGTGAATATTCAAAAGATTCACATTAATGAAATATTGCAAATGTTAAGAAAAATTTAGTTAGTAGTAATAATTTTATATTAAGTCGATTCTACTAATAATAACATGAATGATAATAATAAGTAATGTGTGAAAATTTGATTAATTTAATTAAAATATTAATATTAAAAAGAAAAAAATGTCTCATAAAAAATATATATTTAAAACTTAATTTTTTTTAACTCATGTTATCGGTTATTTATCTTATTTCTTATTTAATTATATTCACATAGTTTTATTAATAAAATTAAATTATTGTGT